AGGGGAAGGAATTCTCCTTCCTTTTCCACAGCAATGCAACCCTTTCATCTGTTACTGCATTGTCTCTCCCCTCATCCAGGCACCAGCTTTGCGACTGCTTGGGGCAGCAAAATTGGTAGAGCCGCCCCTGCCCCCCATAAGGATATTTGGTGAGTTAATAATCCACAGTCAAAACCCACCCTTAGTCTTCTAAATCACAGTGTCCATTGTTCAGAGGGAATGTTTGTGGGGCACAGCTCTTGTAACCTTCTCTGGCAAACCCTGGACTCATTCACTGTAAAATTGGACGTCAGCTTTATTCAGCATGCGTATTTGTTGTATGGTGTGCAATGAACGAGGCAGGCTGGCACACATTAAAAATTAGGACAAAATAAAATTTTTAGAGCTGCCTCATTATATAACTGTATTGTATTACAGAGCATAGGAGCAGCCATCCTAGGTCAGATCTGAAGTCCAGCTGGATCAGTATCCTCTCTCTGACATCCTACCGGATGTTTTAGAGGAACGTGCAAGAAACCCCGCAGTAGACAGCTATGGAACAGCCTGCCCATAGGGACATTTTCTTCCTAATCTCCTCAGTTAGAAGTTGTCTTATGCCCTGAAACATGAGCATTTATATTCCTTCCAAAACTATCTGAGTGTTTTATTTTTTCAAACCTTACTATTATAACTCGGGACAGCTATTCTAGTTTCTCTGAAGATATCCAAATCCTTTTTTGAATCATGATGAGTTCTTGGCCTCAATTATAACTTGTGCTAGTGAGTTCCACATTCTAATTCTGCACTGTGTGAAAAAACATTTATTTTTATCTTTTTAAAATTGCTGCCTTTAGTTTCACTTACTGTTCCATTGTTCTTGTATGTGAGACAGGGTGGTGAACTGAAGTTTCTGATCTGCCTTCTTACCATTCATTATTTTGCATAACTTCACCCTAATCCCTTGTATTGGTCTCCTCTTGAAGGTAAAAACTGCTAGTCTTTCCAATTTTGTCTCATAAGGAAGTTTTTCTTTGTCTTTTATCATTCTTGTGACTTGTCGCCCATCTTTGAATCCCCTCTATTTCTGCTTATCTTTTTTTGAGTTGGGGTGCTCAGAACTGAACACAGTATCCAGGTGAGGGTGCACCATTGATTTAAATATATCTGTACATTTAAAGAGTTTCCCACAATGGAGGCGGCTCCACAAAATAGGTAATATAACATCAGGCTGATTTTTTTTTAGCAAGTTCTGCTGGATGGATGCTAAATTGCAGCCCTACCAGCTTTGCCCCCAACCAGTCCACTCCTCCTTACTCACTCACTGTACTCTTTCACCCATGCCAACCTCTGGATTTGTAGATAGCCTTCCCCACAATTCAGGAAAGGGGATGTTGCCACAGAAGCTGCGGAATCCCACATTCCATGTGGGAAGAGTGGCATCACATACCGCTGTGTAGAAGCATGACCCACCACAATAAGTAGTTAGCTAGAGTGTGTGAAGATCATATGCAGAGAGAGCGCCATACAAGAAAACATAGCTCTGCCTTGAAGAGTTTTCAATCTGAATAGACAAAATACATGGGTGGATTCTCAAAAGGTGTCTGTGCTGGCCTAATTCTGCTTAGCCACTGAAGCCAATGATAAAACTCCTGTAAGCTGAGCCCTTTTGAGAATCCTATCAATGGAGCTGAGGGAATGGACGCAACATGTGAGCAAAGTGAGTGAGCAGTTTTGTTTGGCATGTGCCAAAGGATATGTGTGTGTGTTTATGTTGTAATGAGAGATCAGTTAAGGATTTTGAGATGAGGTATGGAAGAAGTGGTGAAGAAGTGAATTTTAGGGAGAGACTTGAAGGAAGAGAGTGATCAGATCATGAAGACTTTGGGCTAAATTCTGCTCAGTTTACATGTTGAATTCAGTGGGGCTACTCCTGGGATTGTAATAAGCAGCTTTTAGCCCATTTACCCCTTTTTTATATGGAGGTCTGTGCAGGTAAAAAATTTTGGTGTTAATTTTTCATTCTTCCTCTACACAGCAAAAATGAAGACAATAAATTCTATGTGGAGCTCTGAAGAACTGGTTAGTTGTAACTCCCTTTGATAAAGACTATATGGCTGGCATGTCAGTGGACTTTTAAAAGGAAGGATGGTCTTGTGGTTAAGGCCCTGGATTGGGACTCAGGAAAATTAACTTTAGTTTCCAGTTCTGCCATAGACTTCCTGTGTGTCCTCAGAAAAGTCACTTAATCTCTCTGTGCACCAGTTCTTCATCTATATAATAGCGATAATACTACTTCTTGTCTCCTATACTTTGTCTGTCTTGCCCGTTTGGATGGTAAACTCTTTGGGACGTAATCTGGCTCTTACCATCTATACATATAGCATACACATATAGTGTATATAGCATCTAGCACAATGAGGCCAATCTCTTTTGGGGTGCCCAGCATGCCAGCATAACTATGCCTCCAAATACATTGGTAGGGCAGAGTCAAAGTTATCTCTGCTTCCTACCCTCTCCTACTCCACTGCACGAGCAAGGGACATAGCAGCTCTGTGTAGCCTGCTACCTCTCCCCCCAACCCACGTGCAGGAAGTGGAAATACATCCCTTAGTGTTCTCACCATTCTCCATTAAATATGAATTTTCTTTACAACATATTTCTGTCTGATCTCTTTTGGAAGGTATTTATTGACATGGAAAGTGTGCCAGCCAATTTCAATTTTAACAAATAGTCTAGTTCATAGATTTCATAGAATTTAAGTACAGAAGGGACCATTTTAAAAAGAGATTCTAAGTAACTAAGCATTTCAGTCCATGCCAGGACTGTGCCCCGGTAGTCAAGAAGGAAGCCTGGTCTCTTCTTGTGATGTGAATCTGGGAAAAATAAAAGTGGGCCTAACTCTACTGGTAATTCTGGCAAATTAATTCCAACTATCCAATGCTGGTCTCATTGAATACTGAGCTATATAAACTTTTCTTAAATAGGATAAATTATGTTTAAAAATCTCAGTGCACACCTCAGTCACTCAATAGTCCAGGGGAATATTAGGAGGGAGAGCCTATCACCTATAGGTCAATGGTTCCAGCCTGTGAACTATTGAAGGTCCTTACCATTTAGTGACTGCTCAGAGATGAACTGGTGGGCTAAATTCTTTGTAGAGTGCCTACCATCATGGGGTCCTGAACCATGATTGGGGATCCTAGGTGTTACCACATTATAAATAATACAAACTAATAATTAGCTTAGTTCTCAGCGGACAAATATCAGTGTCACAACTGTACCCTTGGTGATATCCTTACCAGAGTCTGAACTACCCTTTAATTCCTGTAGGTGGCCTTTGCAGACATGCTCACAGAGTCACACCTTGATGATCCTAAATGAGGTGTGTGTTAACTGCATTGAAATTTCCCTTTGTTGTTGGAACCTATGTTTATCCCAATTAATTCAATGTCCCCATTCCATCAGGAAAATTGAGGATTACTTGTATCCATATTAAAATGTACTAAATCTTGTAGTTGACATCTAAATTATATCCTATATCTGTTGAAGTGTTGTCTCCTATAATAAAATAATGGTGAAAGACTCCTAATGGGAGCCACTCAGATTTGCAATGGAGACAAAATACATAATTAGGGCCAAATTCTGAGCCATACTCAGTTTTGACTTACTGAGAAAGGCATGCAGCATCAGAGCCTCACTTTTTTATAACCATTTAAAATCAAATTATTTCAGACACTACGGCTAATCCATAATTATAAATAAACCAAGGATAATTTTATTTGTCTTCTGAGCTAATTCTATTTTTTTCTTCTGCCATGAAACACATTAGAAGCAAACCAATTTTTCAATAGGCAGTTGTCTATAACTGGTACTTGGGAAGATGCTATTTTTGTATTAAATCGAATTTTAAAAAGTAAATACAAATCTGTGCAGTACTCATACATTTATGTTGCTATGTTGTATATTTATACCTACATTTATGTTACTAGTTCTATATCTGGTATACCCGTTGGCTTTGCCAGACTGTAGAAGTAATTAACAGAGCCTTCCATGGAGCTATTTAGGAGTGGTTTCTATTACAGTATGTACTCCAAAGAGGAAGTCAAGTGGAATTATATGCATATACATACATGTCTGAACATGTTCCCCTAGTCACTCAAAGTGCGGAATGAAATTTTGAAGAGACACTGTCATATTATATTTGGCATAAAATATAGATTTTCTAAAAATAACTTTTACAAAGTTTAAAATCAAGAGAAACAATTCCATGAATGTAGAACAAATATTACAATGAAAACAGTTTTTAAAACAAAACCAAAGCAAAACAAAACAAAACACAACAAAAAAACCCCCTCTGTTGTGTTTACAACCCAATAGTGAAATGATTACAAACAATATATATTGAAATAATGTGTTAGTGGATGAGCACCTAAGTGAATTTGACTAAAATGAACTATAAACAGAAGTGATACTAATTAGTCTATTTGCATTGTCCAAAATGAGATAAATACAGAAAGTCAACAAACAGTATAATAATAATAATACAAAAATACAACGTTGCACTTTTACAGCAACTTCTATATGAGAATCTCAAAGGACTTTACAACCAGAAATCAATTATACCCCACAACTCCATTATGAAGTAAATACATATAATCCCTATTTTACAGATGGGGAAACTGAGGTACAGCAAATGAAGTGACATCTTCAAGATCACACAGAGACAGTGGCAGAGTGGATTAATAAAAAAAAGTAAGTTAGATGTTCTCCCGTCCTCTACTTTGAATAAATTAAGATATTTGTAGCCAGGCACTGGGCTTTACAATATTATATAGTTAATAGGGTGGTGTCTCTTTAAGTCTGTATAGCTTTGCAATGTGATAGAAACATACATGGCCTGATACCATATGACACACTCTGACTCTACTTTCTGAATGTCCTGACTTTCGAGGAGTTAAAGACAGACTATTAACAGAGCACTTGACAGAGACAGATCTATACGATAACACAGGTTTCTGTAGTAGCTTGGAAACTTGCCCCTCTGCTTGCGGCTTAGCTCATCAGCCCTCCCAGTGGGCGGGGACAAGGCTGCTGTATGGTTAGGTTGAGCCTCGCTGCGTGCGTCTATAACTTTGTGTTGCTTGCTGCTGCTGGTGGTTAGGAGAAGGAATGTGGAAGTCAGTAGAGTGCAGGGTGACAGGCTGGTCGGGCGAGCTGCAGCAGCAGCATTATTTCTCCCTGGCAGATCATTTGCTTTCCCCCTTCTGTTTACAGAGGTACCGTGCGGTTGTTTGCCTTCTCCTCCTTTGCCTTTAAAGGGAAGGCGACTAGAAGCCGAAGACGCAGCAGCCGGAGAATCAGGAAACCATGCGCCAGCACTGCTTTTTCCTCCTGTGAATCTGGATCTTTATTTTTGCTGGAGAGGGTAGAGGTTGCTGCTGGTTCTTCCCCTTCCCTCCTTCCCCTGCCGATGTGTCTTCCTCTGTCCCTTTTGCCAGTGTTTTTTAAATGACTTGAGCGGAGGGGGGAAAAACTGTCAAGATGGCAGCAGCAGGAGCAAGGAGGTTATGAATGTGGTGTTGATGCTGGAACAAAACCCATCCTCTTGGCAGCCCGACGGAGGGCTTAAAGCTTCTGGACCTGTTGGAAGACTGGTGATTTGATTTGTTTTTGTTTTGCTTTCCTCGCAAAAAGGGTAAAAAATCCAGAGTGGCTTTTTCTTCCCCTGTTCGGTTGGTTGTGAAATTTAGTTTTGTATATATATCTATAGATCTGTATATTTTTTGGAAAGTGGAATGCATAAGTACGGCAAATGCTAGTGTGCGATTGGAGGTACATTAAGACTTCAGCTCCCTCTGGGGCGTTTTGAAGGAGGAAAAAGTCATCAATGTAATTTGAAGGACCCCTCTCTCTTTCCCCCGGCCAGAGAGAGAAAAAGGGACACGTCTGCCAGAGCAGCCGGGAGCAGGCTTGGTGGTGTTGGAGGGGTCTCTCTCCGATGGATACAGCGTGATTGCCAGTGGAGCGCTTCTGCAGCTGCATGGAGTGAAACATAAACAAACACACACCACTGAGCTGCACCAACTCCACTGCGTTTGGGCTGCCGCTGGCGCCATCCCCCCACCCATCGGGCTCAAGGGGCGCATCTGGAACCTCTGGCCTTGCCTGATCCCTTATTGATCGCCTTGTGATTATTAGTGGTATTGTGTGTGTGTGTGTGTGCACTGTCTGCTGGGAGAGGGGGCGGGGGAAGGCAGGAGGCTGCAGGACTTTAATGGAGAGTGGCATGTTCACTCGCTCCCCCCTGCCTGGTAGGCACTGATCCGCAGCGGCAGGAGGAGGACTGGGGTCCGGACCTGTCTATCCCATCGCAGCACCAGGAGCAGCAGCAGCGGGAGGAGGGGAAGCCAAGATGGCAGAGGCGTCTCCCGCTGCCCCCCTCTCCCCCCTGGACGTGGAGCTGGACCCGGAGTTCGAGCCCCAGAGCCGGCCCCGCTCCTGCACTTGGCCCCTACAGAGGCCTGAGTTGCAGGCGAGCCCGGCCAAGCCCTCGGGGGAAGCGGCCGCGGACGCCGCCTCCATGATCCCCGAGGAGGAGGACGACGAGGAGGAAGGGGGCAGCTCGCCCATGGCCATCGGCAGTGGCGGCGGAGGGGAAGCGCTGGCCCCGGAGGAGGCGGCGCGGCTGCTGGCCCCGCTGTCCGGGGTCGGGACGGAGGGCTCGGGCCAGGCCCCCGGGGCAGCGGCCGCCGGGGGCAGCGGGCTGGGCGGCGGGCAGCCGGCGGCGGCGGCGGCGCCGCGGAAATGCTCGTCCCGGCGGAACGCGTGGGGCAACCTGTCCTACGCCGACCTGATCACCCGCGCCATCGAGAGCGCCCCGGACAAGCGGCTCACCCTGTCCCAGATCTACGACTGGATGGTGCGCTGCGTGCCCTACTTCAAGGATAAGGGCGACAGCAACAGCTCGGCCGGCTGGAAGGTGAGGGGGGCCGGGGTGCCCCGGGACCGGAGGGGTGGCGGAGCGATGGCGGCGGGGGGGGGGGTGCCCCGGTGGAAGAGGGCAGGGGGCCGGGAGGTGCCCCGGGGGGGCAGGAGTGGCACTCAGGACGGGGGCTAGGGAGGCTCTCGGGCGGCGGTCCCGGGGTGAGGGTGCCCGGGAGGAGGCGGGGGGGGGGGTCCCCGCGGGGAAGCGCCCGCGCTCAGCCAGGTAAACCCAGTAGCAGGCCCGTGTGCGGCACCCCCGGTGCGCTGGTGCGGAGGAGCTGGCGTGGCACGGGGCGGGCTGGCCCCCTGGTCGGAGGGGCGATGTGTGACCGAGGCGCCCTCGGCCGGAATTAAAGTAATTAACTTGTTCGCGTAACGCTGAGGAGCAGCGTGTTCGTGCAGTGTCCGTGGAGCACAATACTTCGATCCCAGCCCCTCACTTCGCAGGCAGCGGGCTCGTCAGTGTACCAGCCGGGGGAGCGTGGGGAGTAGGTCTTTCCTGCCTTTGAAATGCAAGAAGCAGATACTCGGGGGAGACCTTGGACTCTTGGGCCTCTCAACCATTTGAGCTCCTCGTCTTGCACCTTCCTCTTCCTTGGAGTAACATCTGCCAGGCAAACTCTGCCTTGCACGGTTCTCCAGTTACATATTAAACGTGGGAGGCACCGGAGTCCAATGAGCTTCCTGGAAAGCTCTGGTGAGACTCCTCTTCTTATTGCTTGGCTGGCCGGGCCCCAGCACCTGCTGCTGACTGAACCGGTAGCTGATGTTTGCTAATTTGAGAGTGACCCAGACTGCCTCCACTATGTACTAGCGAAGCAGGCGGCTTCTCGGCTGGGAGAGGAGCTCTCTGTTTAGATGAACTTGGCTGACTCCTCTCTGTTGGCCCATGTCAGTTTCTTTAATGCTCGAGGCACGTGATTTAAAGGGGGTGTGTGGCGTGGCCTCTGAGATCACAGTGACCCTGCTGCAGCCAAATAAAATGTTAACTGTTGGACGAATTGTCTCGGTGTGCTTAGCCTGATGTGCTTAAATGGACACCGTCAACCTGAAATCTAGTCAGTTAAAAATGAGTTAAGAGTAATTGCGGGGACCACATCTGCGTTGGAATCCCCCTGTAGGTCGTGACAGCTTATGCTCAAATAAATTTGTTAGTCTCCAAGGTGCCACAGTACTCCTTTTCTTTTTGCGAATACAGACGAACACAACTGCTACTCTGAAACCTGTCAATTTTTGTGGTTTTACAATCGCATTTTCTGAATTCGGAGAAAAAAAAGTCCCCCCTTCTTCCCTTGCCCTGCAGAAGACTCAGCCAGACCTGAAGAAGAGCTCTGTACAAGCGCGAAAGCTTGTCTCTCTCACCAACAGAAGTTAGTCCAATAAAAGATATGATGACCTAACCCACCTTGTTTCTCACAGAAACAGTAAAAATTAACTAAATACAGAGGAAACAGTGGGAAGACTATACACAGAATGCTGTCAAATGATCAAAACAACAAACTGAAAATAGACAAATACGTTTTCTTCAATTTTTTTCAATTATAGGAATCTTAGCTGTTGCATGTGACAGTAGTAGGCCAAAAATATACAGATGCAAATCTCAGAGTTCAAATATAGAATTACTACTAGTTTTTCAAGAAAAATTCAAATTCCTCCCTCCACCCAGAAAAAGCCAAGAAAGGTATATGCTTTTCTTTACAAAGTTAAATTAATGGTGGAATTCTTTAAAGGGTGACTTCTCTGAATGTTTGGAATTTTTTTCCTGGTATGTTAGTGCATATAGGGACAACATCAATTGAAAAATCACACATATCTGAGAAATTTCTATTTACAGTTTTTACAAATCACACCTATGATTACTATAATGTAAAGACATTAGAGAAAAAATCATTTTCCAGATTGTTTGCTTTGTGCATGTGAAAACACATTGTATATAGTCAGGCTTTTGCTTTTGAAGATCGCTTTTAAAATAAAGATCTTACTAGTAGCTAATATTGGGTAGACAACATTTTAAAAGTACTTTACAAAAAGCGTTTGCTTTGGTATTGCATGTTCATCTGTTAGTATGCCATTTGCTAAAATGCCATTTATTTAAATGTTGCATCTGCACAGTAAGAATGGGCACTTGCACGATGTAGGTGCTGTTTACAAAGGAGGGAAGACTGGTTCAGTTAAATTACATCATGGTGCCACTATGTGCCATTTATGATTGAGCGTCTTAGTGGATGATAGGAGGAGGATTCTTGAGGAAGTTTTAGCACACAGTATTATATAGAAGTTAACTTTCCTGCTGAATCTCCTTATTTGATTCAAATAATAGAGAGCTTACATGATATAAAACAAATGAGTTGGAAATGTATAAGCTGGAAGAGTCTCATATATTCTTATGCTAGTAACCCATTCTTATGTTTTGATTTCTGAGTAAGACATACCACTAGGAAATTAATTTGAATACAGATGCAGGATTTTCCCCTCCCAAATGGAGCATTACAGGAAAAATGTTTGCACTGCATTTGACTCAGGTTAGGGAAATATTTTAAGAAAAAAAGCCAGTTGTTTAATTCAAGACTGATATCTTAAAAACAGATGCATTTTAAAATTGGATGCCTATTTTATACATTGAATTTGATGAGCTTCCACAAGCATGATAGAGAGTGTGATAAGGCTTAAATCGAATATGACAATCCTTGCTTTCAAATATATACCTTTATGTCCTTTGCAAAAGCATTGGTTTCAGACCTCAGCTGTTCTGTCTTATCTGCTATGACAAATCCAGTCTTTTATTGAATACTTTGAGTTTTCAGTCAATGATATCAAATCAAATGGAACTAAAAATTATAACACAACCTATAATGTATAGGGTCTAATACTACTTCCATTGAATTTGGTGGCAAAATTCCTACTGACTTCAGTGGAAGTAGGATTTTGGCCATCATGCAAAGTGCTAACATTGATTAGTATGCTTAATACGCTTGCAGTTTTTCTGACAATTTATACTTTTAATTTGATATTGATTCCATTTCTGTGCAGTATTAACTGGTACTCGGAGCTAATTAAAATATTAAAAACTTGGATCCTTTGAGATTTCACTGATATAATTTAGTTCAGAAGTTTCTCACTGGTCTCTAAAATGACCTTCATCAGAAGATGAGGGCACATTAGAAGCTCAAAATCTTGTTTATGGTTGAGTGCAAGTTGTCTTTGAAACTGACGGTAACATGTTTGATTTTGTTAGCAATCTGTGCATATGTGTGTGTGTGGCTGATAGGAATGTGATAAAGTCGGGGAAGGAGAGGTCAGGAGCTAATAATCTGCCAGGCATCCCAAAACAGAGATTTTAATTTCTGACAGGATTAGTGTTCTTTTTAAGGTGTGCATATGCATTTAAAACAGGGATCTTTCTGTTTCTTGACTGGAATATCAGTTACTTTTTTGTGGAAACAATCCTGTTAGACTCCATCTACATCTGAAATGGGTTGTTTCCACAGTAGCTTGGAGAGTGATTCCCAGCTCCTGTGTGCTAGCACGGCTTGAGCTAGCATCTAAATAAAGACGCGTGGGTGCGGCCACAGAGGTGGTGTCTTGTGCTGGCTGCCTGAGTGAAGTCCTGCCCAGTGCCCTGGGAATGTATTCAGATGGCTAGGCTGAACTGCTGCCCATTCTGCCGTGGCCACTCTGCTCTTTTTAGGCGCTAGCTCAAGCAGAGTAAGGAGCATACATATACTTGTGTTGGGAATTACACCTCCCAGCTGCTGTGTAGACATCCTATTGGTATCTAAAACACAGTAAATGAATATACACTGTTTTATCATTTTATTTCCCTCATAAGTATGGGATATAACTGTTTAAAGGACATATGACTAAGCTTTTCACTTTGGACCTTGGGAAAAGTGACAGGGAAACTGAGATTTTAAAAATGATAAAGATTTGTGTATGAGAAAGCCTTTTACCATAGTCTACAGTTATTTTATTATATAAATAATTTGAGCTTCATAGACAAAGAACACATTTAACAGTGTTATTTCCCTCTTGCATCAAAAGGGGAAACTGTCATTTTAAATAAAGGTGAAAAAGATAACTTAGTTTTATTATCATACATGTTATATATGAAATATTAATTTTGTTTCCAGTGTAATCAGCAGAAGAACATACTTCATAAAACTATCTTAGATTATTCTCCCCCAGAACAATGACTTTAAAAGCTATAAATTAAAATTACAACTATCATTCACCTGCTTTTTTTTTTTTTTTGCCTAGGGCATTAAAGCAGAAATGAATATTCAGGTGTGGTTAGGAAGACAACATTATGTTTCCTCTAATTCAAATAAGATTTGTCCAGTTCACACACCAACAGGCTGATTTGTTTCCCCCCCCACTCGCAACCCATTGGAATGTTAGCTTATCTAACGGTGGTTGGCAGCTAACTAGTGCAGTAATATATAATAAATCTTCCTAGATGCAGCATACACTCTAGTATACTCACATGCAGTCTTTTCAATACTGACCTATATGTTTCCAAACCACCCACAGTTATTTAGATATATGATTCAATATCTGCTCACTGCTTTGAAGAGTGATAAAAGTGAGTATTTTAGTATTTGATGTCTATGAAAAAAATGCTTTGAAAGAAAGAGACTGTGTATGCTCTGTTGTACAGAAGCACATGTCCTGATAGTGTCTTGTCAGTGCACAATATGTAGGCGAATTTTATCATTACTACCACAGAGGTTCCTGTTCACCAGACTTGCACGTGTTCAGTTTCTAAATGAAAGTATCTAATGCCACATCAAAATGCTGCATTAAAAATATGCATTCACAAAATCAGTGTATTAGAACTGATTTTTATTACTTTGTTAAATTGTTCAGGATTCAGTAACTTCCTTTGCTCAATATTTTCCATCTGCCCTGAAATGGTATCTTCAGGCACCTTTGTATGTAGGTTGGAGGAATGTGCAGTTTCACTGTAACTTCTGTAAGTACTTTGGTATCTCTTGC